GACCATTCCGATACAGGTGGCTCGTGAGTGCCTACTAGCTTCACCTCTTGCTGCACTAGTCGTTGACTGTCTTTTCATTGCAGCGTTGGCAAACCAGAGACCTTGACGGCTTACGGAATCGTCACAAAGCAAAGCTGGGACAACTTCGTTCCAGTCAACGGAACTGCACCAACCTCAGGCGGTCTTTCAACAGGAAGTACGTCGATTTTCTTCGTTCTTGTTTATCGAAGATCATTCTCATCGATATTTCATGACAGGTGGCGGTGTCGAAGTCTTCCAACGCGACTTTGGTACAATCTCTTGGTCGTCCAGTACGTTTCTCGTCGACTTTACGTTGCTTCCTCGTCTTACTCATTTGCACAGTCGGCTTGAACGGGAACATCGGAGGCATCCTCGAATATCAGGTACGCACTTGATGCTGTCCACATCCAAAACCACTCCATACTCATGGTCTTCGCAGTGGGCCGGAAACGAGTTGACTGGAACGAGCAGCAAAAGGCAAACCGCCCACCCTCCACCCAACGATGGTTATGCCAAGTACGTGCTTTCCCATTCCGCCTTCTCATCCCCTCCCTCTTGGATCCCAAAACTGATGACGTATTCTATCCTTATAGCTACGCTGGGCCAAACTCCCAGGCTGTCGCCAACCTCATGGGAACGAGCAACACTCCCTCTTAAGCAGTTTCTCAGAGACTTTCACCCCAGACGTACACTTTTGTTTCGGACTGGGGACTTGTGTGTGCTAGGACTCGTACTTGGACTTGCGACTCGGATTCTGACTCGGACTCGGACTCGGATGATGACTGTGATGGTAGAGTACAGTGGTTCGAACCCCTAGGCTGTTCTCGAGTAGCAGTTCGTTACGATTTGTCACGGTTCCGGACGATTTATTGGCTGGACATTTTCTTTTCTCATCTGTTTTACTACACCCACAGATGTTCTCGTTACTCACTGTTCACTACCCACTTCATTTCTACTGTAGATCCACTTTGCAATTACATTTACCTTGGCTGGAGATCTGTTCGTGGGAGCGAAATATCCTCCTGGGGTTAGGGTTTGATGGATCACCTGACAAAAATATCCCACTTCTAATCAGCCGGACATCGAATTACCATTAATACACGATAAGAACAGGCCAAGGAAAGGGCAACCAATACGACTACAACCAAGGTCGAAAAGCAACCCCTCCCCAACTTAATCAAGCTTCTGTCGACACAAAAGCAAAACGGCCGCAACCACACAAAGGCTCCAACAATCCCAAGCCAATAGCTACCTGGCTCATCTCTAGGTTAATGCTCGTTGGGGTTTTTGTTATTCGCGTTATAACGAACGAGGTGGAATCTGTCGTCGAATGTAACTAGATATCGTCGAGAAACGAAACAAGGGAGCGTTGATTAATGTGAGATTTAGACGGAGATGAAAGGGGCACATACACAGATATAATCACCTTTTGTAACCCAAACGTATGAGACGGCATTGACCCTCATTGTTCTCGATCTATCAAAAAAAGACGACAATTAGGTTCCTCCAAACAATCTCAAAGAAACGAGAGAGAAGCCATACCTAGCATCATCCGACAAAGCCAACCACTTCCGCACCCTCTGTTTCTTCACAACCCCCCTAATCTCAACAGCAGGTACTCCCTCCATCCTCTACTCAACCATCGCCATATTCCTCCTCTCATTATCCTTCAGGAGTGTAAACACGCGTAAAGAGTCGGTATAGACCGATCCTACAGGCTTTTGACGGGAGTTGATGAATGTGGAATTGAGGATGGTCGGTTTGAGATGGGTGAAGGCGAAGTTGACGGTGTCGGGTAGTGGTGAGGAGATGGGAGATAGGTATGGGAGGGCACCGTAGATTGAGGGTGTGGAAAAATGGGGTTCCGGAGATGACCGGGAGCTGGATGGTGTGGGTGATCCATCCCAAACTGCGAACGGGTTGATATAGGTTGATACGCTGTACGGATTGGTACAGTTCCCGACAGTGGTATTCTTTGCAGGTTGGGTGTATTTCTGCGGTAAAACCTGATGTTAGCAGCCGACTCGTGTACAAAAAAGCGTGAAGGCACATACCCAGGGGGCCTGATTATAAAACCTATCTAAATAATTTTGAATGGGGCTGGCATCCTCGAATATTTGGGGTGAATTGAAGGTCGGACTCGGGATGGTACGGATACGTATTTCCCGGTGATGTCGTCTGCGTGTAGCTCGGGAAATGTAGACGGAAGCGAAAGCGTGTCGAACCAAAAATTAGGAGAGGATAAGGGTAGGGGCATAGCGGAGTAGGATTCGACTTCCATGGCGTGAATCGGTAGAGACTCGCTAAACAGGTCGATGATAAACTCGGCCCAAACTCAGTGGTGCTACTTAAGAACTCTGCGGATGAGGCGCAAGCCTTGTCTCTAAGCCGATGATATTGGACAAGACCCCTTTCTCGAGGGAGAATTCAAAGCAATGGGCAGTGCACCAGGAAACACTGAGAACTCAGAATTCGGATTTTCTTGTTGGGAGTTGACTCCGCTTACATCGTGAGGTTACCTAAAACCATTATTGTCGGTATTGTTGACTACGACTCGGGGGGGGCAGAGCCGTCGGCGAAGCATAGATATCTGCCGCGGACCTACAGGATGGCCTGTCGACGTGTCTGTTGAAGATGACTGATCATAGTCTCGATAGGTTGGGATTTCCGAATTGATGTCGATCCATGCCCGGAGTGATTGGGGAAACGATAAGCGTTGGAGGGTGACTAAGGTGCGATTGAGGCGAGAAATTTGGAGGAGGGTCAATAGAGGAGTTGTTGGTGGTGCTTCAAGGTTCTGGGCAGCGTGGTGAACAGGTCACACTCGAGTCGTGGCAAATGCTGTGGTACATAACGCCAAAGGAGTGTCCCACGGTTCCTCTCTTCCTCATCGTCCTGCTCCGTGTTACACGGTTGCCTTCACTCCAGCCTATTCTCTTGCACCGATGGTCTTCACGTTTCATCGAATACGAGACAAGCCAGTCCATTGAGTAGCGATTCAGGATTTCGGAATTGCTAGTCGGCGGAGGTGGTAGGACCCCTCGGTCGGAGAAACCTTGACGGTTCTCTCGCTGGATGCGCCTTTCGACAGTCTCTTATCGGAGTGGACACGTCTGCAGCACGTCGCCTCAAACCAATCACCTCCGAGTGCGTCTGACAAATATTCCTTCCCTCGTCGTCGATCCTGATAATCTCTTCAGCCTCCCCCTCGAAACCATCTAGGCTCAACGTCCACACTCTTGATGATCGGTTTGATGTCGATAACGCGCGTGCTTTCTCAGATACACACTCTCTACTAGTTTCGCCATCCTTTAATCTATGAAGACACAGATTAGGGTTAACTGTTGCGTCTGGTGCAAGAATTGCCCTTCAAGCGAACCTGGCCATATGCCCGTTGAAGGCGTGTGATGGGAACGGATTGTAGCTGATACCCGTTGGCGGGTTCTTCTCCCTCCCGACTCCCGACTCCCCGATTGCCCCATCGCTCTCTCCTCGACCGCAGGAATAGTTCCCCCCCTTTGATGGAGGGACGGATATCCGCACCGTATCTCACACTAGCTCTCCCACCCTTCCTCAAATCATCCCTGTCCCAAGCTTTCCTCCGCCACTTTCAACGGAACCCAGACACCCCGCTGATGATTCGGATGTTTGCACCATCTCTTGTTCATGACTGCCATTTGCCCAAGCATCTCCTCTGGATCACCTTGCCCTACAACTTCGAGATAAGGACCAATACCGCCTTTTGAACATACTGGACTAGCCATGAACCTGTTTCACAACGACCCTTCCTCTCCTTCGATTATCAAACCAGGTCCTCTTGATGTAAGGCCACACCGGAGTAGATTAAGGCATAGTAGACTTGATTGGTCTATCACGCAATGCACGTTTCAACCACCCCTGTCTTGCCGTACGATCGTCTTCCTTAGGTGTCAAACCATCACCAGTTCATCGTGAAGTCTACGATAATCTTCAAGTCTCTGTACCAGGATCAACGAGGCGATCTTCCTGCTGCCCCAACACTCGCATCTCCTCCACCCTCGGGTCGATGTCTCCTTCGACATCACCAGGTCGGAGACTAAGAAACTCCGCAACAAGGCCATGTTCCAAGATATACCACGAGCTCGTCTTCAACAACGAGCAAAGCCCATACAAATACGTGTCCAACTCCGACCGTCTTTGGGCCGTGACGGCTCTATCAACATGCCCACCAAATGGACCAGGTGTATATGGAATAATCCGTGGATGTGGGGGTTCACGACCGCTCTCCCGAGGAAGTGCAGATAAGAGGTTGATTTGGAACTGGTAAAAGTCTTCGTAAACTCGGAGGAGGGTGAGCTGTTTGGCTGGAGGGAGGGAAACTGGATTGGAGCGATCGAAAGGTTGATAAATGGCGTTTATGCGGAAGTGATACTCTTCGTTTTCATGGTGGAAGGATGGGACTTCGGCGGTGAGGAGGATGCCTGGGGGTAAGCAGGGAGGGATGGGCGTTTCGTGGCCGTGTAGGCTTTGATGAGCAGGTGGGACGATGTTCGTCATTTCTGGTGATAGAAGCGAGGCGAATCAGTTAAGTTGGGATATCAAATATACATAGAGCCAGAGACGAACGGGAACAACGATGTCTGAATAAACTCGAAAGCTCGGCAAAAGTGAGAGTACTGTATGTGGTTGGGTGAGGTCTGGCACTGGAAGTGCAGCGAGGATTGCGCGCTATGCAGTTGATAGGAGAGATAGAATCAAGTCACATCTACGATGCAAACTTCAACGAGCCTGTATACTTAGGTCCAAGGCGCTTCATAAGGTGAGGATTGTCAATGCGACGCTGGGTGCATCCAAAAGAGTATGAGACAAGCTGAAAACTTGAAGTCACCTTGAAGGCCGAAGTAGACTAGTAATAAGGTGATGATTCGATGAAAATGGACCTCCAAGTGCACACTAGTATAGATAAATTTGAGAAAAAGATCGATATCTGAAGAACGACATGCCGCCTAGCCGATTCGAACGACTGGTCTTTGCATGTCCGTCGAAACGTACAAGTGCAACGCTGTACCACTTAGCCAAGGCGGCGTGGAGCAGCTGGAGATATTTTAACTCAAGATCGTAGGGTGGATATTCCACCATCCTCAGGTTGGCGAATAGCCCAAATCTCCCTGTTCAGCACCAAGCGTCTTCTCCCACCTATGCCGTTTCATCACGCTTATCGCTCACCCTGCCATTGACAAGCAAGACCACTTGCCTTGCACCATGGTTCGACTTGGATGATTGGTGCCGGTGGATCTTTAACGCCGTACTTCAACCAGATGAAATGCTCGTGGCTGGGTCCCAGATTGGCACTACACCACCAACCCGGTAAATTGTCAACAGGATCCCAAGAAGTTGTCATTGTTGTGGGATTGTATGATAGATTATTTCGTGCCCAGGATTGAGGTCAGGTTGTCACTCTCATAATTGTCTCAACCCATCGTTCGCGGAAACGTCAATCTGCTGTTCCGGAAATGTCGTATTGACATCGCCTCCACAACATCATGCAGG